TACCTATTGGCGAACAACTAATTCCCTTGAAGACTCATTATATGTTGCATTTCACATTGATTTGTATTTCTTTTATATTTGTTTTTCAGTATCGGAAGCCTAGGGTGTCGTGTGTTTTTTTTTTGTCTTAGAATTTTAGGTGAATTTTAAATCTTTATGAAATTTTCAAAGTCATGAGTTCAGTTGAAAATTCGATAACACTCCGGCGTCGTCCCCGCATAGGGGGCTGCATCGAAGTGTGTAAGGCCTTCCCGCTTACCAAGAAAGGCAATCACAGTAGGTGTCAAATGACACCGTGGCCGCAGTGTCGTTCCCCGCTCGCTAATAAAAGCGGTCATGGGGTTTTTAAGTACATGTCTAAAGCACAACATTTTCTCAGCCTAAAAGTACTGACGGGTACTCAATTAAACAATTCTTCTACAAATAACAAATTTTCCCGCTCGCTAAAAAAAATGGTCACGGGTACTTATATTTCATGCATACGAATTTTCCCGCTCGCTGATAAGAGCAGTCACGAGTACTTAAGTTTCCTCGCTCGCTAACAAAAGCGGTCACGAGTACTTATTTCATGCATAGAAATGTAAAATGTCAGTGACGGACATTTTATCTTGGGTGTGCAGTAATCGAGGAGACGACGACAAATGATGGCAACGGTGGGAAACCTGCGATGCACAATTTAAAAAAATTTTATTATTATTTGTGCAATAAAATTAATCATATATTCTTTTTTTTACTTAAAATAAAGGCTAGAGAGAGATAGAGAGCTCTCTTTCTAGAAAGAGAAAGAGAGGGAAAGAGAGGATTTGATGGGAATTTGCATTGAGAGGGATTTAGGAGGTGTAAGGAAATGGGTCTTTCTAATTTTGGAGAGAGAAAGAGTGAAATTTTTTTCTTTCTAGGAAGGGAATTTGGAGGCATGGTGGAGAGGAGAGATGCTTGGGATGGAAAGGGAGTCATACATGAAGAAATTTCTTTCTCGTTCTAGAGAAAGAAAATTTTCTCTCTCTAGGTTAGAGAGAAAGTGAGAGATTATAGAGATTTTAATAGGAAATGTGTAGGAATGTTTTTTGTGAAGGGTGGTGGGTGATTTATGGGATGGATGTAAAGATATGAAAGAATTAGGGTTAGGGTTGGTTGTAGGTTAAGAGAAAATGTAATAGAGGAAGAAGAAGAAGATGAAGGAGAGGAAAGAGAAGAGAGGAGAGGAAGAAAATGTGGAGGAATATGGAGGGATGAAGAGGGAAATAAAAAAATGGAGAAGAAGAAGAAAAGGGAAGGAAGAAGAAGAAGAATAAAGGAAGAAGAATGGAGGAGAAGAAGAAAGAGAAGGAGAAGGAGAAGAAATTTACCTTGCTTGGAGGGAGTAGGGAGGCCGGCAGCTTTGGCGTGAAGAAGAATCGCAAGAGGGGCGGCTCCTTGCGTGAGAATGGTCGTGAGATGAGGAGAGAGGGATCGGTTGGGAGAGTTTGAGGGAGTGAGGATTTAAGTAAGGGGCATTTTGGGTATTTTTTTGGATTTTTATTTAAATAAAATTCATTTTCTTATTTAAAAAGCTCTCTTTCTCTCCCTCTTTAAAAAAAAAATTAATTATATAGCACAAAATAAAAAATAAATTTTTAATCTTGCAAAGAGTTGGTCGCCGCGTGCATATGTCGTCGCCTTGATTCGCACGCCCAAAATTTAAATTTTTACCGACCGGCGAACCCCATCAATATGGGTGTCGATATTAGTTGTTTCCGTTGTTCCAGACACATCGGCGCTGTCTGTTTCGCGAACGAAGGTCATTTAAGCGATTTTGGGTTTTCGGCCGACATGCGTCGGGTGAGTTTTTTGCTCTATTTTGAGCTCTTTCACTTTTGAAACCCACCTTGCGCGGTCGACACTATCCCGACACTCGTATTAGGGTCAACAAATGCCCTCCAACAAATATGGTGCGCGTCTAAAGCGCACCATGTTTGTTGTAAACAGTTAACACTGCGAATCTTTAAAAATTTTCTTCCACTTTTTTTTTTTTTGGATGTCATTGCAAGATAAGGGCGAAGTATATAAAGTATTTTTATGCTCCATTCATTCTATCAGCTTGCATGCTTTCTTATGATTCTTTCGTCTTTTGCTAGGAAAGATGTTCAACTTGAGTAGACCGGAGGGGATGCCGTGAAGTGAGCCCAGTAAGGAGACCATCTGGGAAATGATTGACAGGCACGATCCTCACAGGCCTGCTGATATGGCTGATAGGTTGGAGCAACATGAGGAGATGCTGAGGGGCCACAGTATTTACGGTGAATTCTTTATACGCTCGCCTCTTCTCCTATGCTCTGAGCTTAATCCCTCATTATACAAAGATTCTGTTGAGTGGGTGACCACTACTAAGTTGAAATGCAGGGACTACAACCCCTTGGAGAGTACCATTGCTCAGGTGAGCTCTGGTATGTGCGACATTTTGAAGCCGGCCGTCGATGTCGTTGAGAAAGTTAGGCAATCAAGTGTATTGAGTCGCTGACAATTGCAACCGGCTACACATGAGTGGCCTAGAGATTCTCTAGTGGGACAGCTCTCTAGACCTGCACGTGGGTATGTGTCTTGGGCAAGGTACGTCTTAAGAGCCCATAAAACTATTTTGAAAAGGGCAGGTATATACGAAGCTATATATGCTTCAATGTTCAGCTTCGAGAATATTCCCCACTCCTGGATAAAGAGGGTGATAGAATTTTGGGACCCGCAATTAACACTTGTTGGATGGGCTCCGAGGAGTTGACAATGACATTGTGGGAACTGCAGGCTGTCTCTGGTCTGCCGATCTTTAGACGTCAGTATGAAGAATGCATTCCTCCAGACGAGGAACTATTCCGTAGGCGACTTTCCTCCAGCAGAAGTAGGAGGGGAGAACTAATTTCACCTATAGTCCTTCCTGCTGCACTGAGCCATTATCGGCGGGTTTGTAAAGAGGCCAAGAAATCGAGGCGTTCCTGGGCAACTATCCCTTTAGACATCTGGATTCGCAGTTTCATTAGGGAGAAGGAACTCAATCAAACCAGCGCTCCTATACAAGATCTTTTTGAACCAGGCGTGGAGTACTTCGACGCTTTATCAGAAGACCTTGCTGAACCTTCCACTGACGTAGGGTATATGTCTCCCGCTCTTTCAGGTATGAGCGAAGAGTTATTTCTCGTTGGATTTTTAGTTTGTTGGTTGTGCACATTTTTCCTCCCTGCTAAGGGATACGCTATTCGATGTAATGCTTTGCTAGTGGCAAGTCTCTTGTCATATAAGAGCGTATTTCTCGTCCCGTAGTTCTCAATAAAATTTTCATAACATTTAGAGCTATCTCAGAGAACCCAACACTCGATGGGCATGATACAACCCTCCCTTGGCAATAAATTTACACTTGGGTTCACATTCACATCCAGGAAGCATTCAGCTGTCTAGAATATCCCTCCTATTTCTCATATAAGAGGTACCCAATCGCGTCCACACTGGAGCAAGAACGCGTACGCTTATTCGTTTTCGCACCACACCTCGTCGCAGACCATTTCCGCTTAGTGCACCAACCGGAGCTTGGCAGTCTATCAAGTAATTTGATGGCAGTAGACATCGTCGATGACACTGATCGCCACGGCAGATATACCTTACTTTTTAAAGGGCGCTCTTTACTGGTTGCTGAATATTTCATTAGCATGCGACCTGGATGGTTGTGCTATCGTTACGGGCAATCGGTGATCTTGGAAAGATATCAACCCAATAGAACTGCCAGACAATTTGTCCTTTCACAAGCTACCGCGTATGAGGGTCAACAGAAATCAATTCATTAATAAGAGTACACATTTTAGATATCTTGGATCTATTGTTCAGAGTGAGTGAAATAGATGGGGATACTATCAACATAATTCAAGTTGGATGGTTTATGTGTGATAGAAAAATCTCCTTCAAACTTATGGGAAAATTCTACAAGATGGTGGTGAGACCTTTAATGTTTTATGGTGCCGATGTTGGCCATTAAAAGAGAAGCATAATACTAAGTTAAGTGTTGCAGAGATGAGCATGCTCAGGAGAATGAGTGGCTTTACTCTTAGAGATAGGATACGAAATGAGCATATTTGTGAAAAGGTTGGAGTAGCTTCAGTGGAAGATAAGATTAGAGATAGTCGCCTTAGATGGTTTGGTCACATAAAACAGCGGCCTTGCGATGACCCGGCTAGGAAAGTAGATGTATTAGATTTCACTTATGTTAAGTAAGGTAAAGGTAGACCTAAAAAGAATTGGTTAGAGAATATTAGAAATGATCTTTCCTTATTAGATTTAAACGAGAATTTGACTTTTAATAGGACAATAGAAAAAAAGGATTCATGTAGCCGACCCCACGTAGTGGGACAAAGGCTTGATGTTGTTTTTATTGTTGCAAAGTGTTCATAGGTAGTACTGCCAAACATGTATAAGCTTCCTCTATTAAAAAAAAAAATTTATGAGGATTTGGTTCACCACACGGGTACCCATCATAAGCCCCCTATTTTTTTTATCTTTTATGAACTTGTATGTTAACTATTGTGAGTCAGGATATCCTATATAAGGTAAATATTACAACAAAAAGTTTGATTTTAGCTCAAAATGGTCAATATGTAGAATCAAAACATATAATAATGAGATTCATCCCGGAACATCCACTTTTATTTTAAAAAGGGTTCAAAATATATTTATTCTGAGTTGGAAGGAGAAATGCATTGGAATATTGATGGAAACTATGATCCCAAATATCCATAAAGTAATGTTCATCTATTACCAAAAAAGGTATTTATGAATATTAGCAAGAGATATATCCATATCCAATAGTGTATTTTCACTTCGCAAATATTAAGATCAAATGAATGTGAATTCTTTTTCTTTGAGACATATATTTGAAATCTCACTGACTAATCATCAACTAATCATCAACTAAAGAACACACGCAATACAACAACAGAAAATCATAGTTTGCCAAATTGATAGAACTTGGTATAAACTCGTACCAGCCATTCCAATCCTCAGTCCAAATCTTAGGCTTCTTATAAGTATTGGGCTTGAAAGCATCACAGTAGAATCCATTACAGGTATCAATCTGTCAAATTAAATAAAATATAACAAAATTCACGGAATGCAGTATAACTAAACAAAATATCTAAAGCCAGAAATTGACATTAATCTTAGCATTAATTCAAATAAGGAATAAACTTTAGGAATTTTTTATCTAAATTGGCATGGACAAATAACATGTACTACAATGCTATAAGAGTAAGTTATGCAATTTAATATTATGTGCGTGTAAGAAGATGTGTTAAATATGTTTTGAACATTGAACATGAATGTGTGAAATCGCGGCATGAACAGTATTAACTGTAGAATGCAGATATACAAGTTTATAAGCAATCATAATATTAACTAAATTAATAGATAAAACACGCTGATATTACTGGTAAGTTAGTAGACTATTTGACATCATCCTCTCAGGAAACTTGGTGTAAGGTACTTAAAAAAATTTTTTATTCTTACTAAAGAAATAAGTAGATGAAAAATGTAAATATGAAAAATATAGGAGACAGAAATGATGGCTCATACAACTGTCTCGGGTGCATCAGTTTGCTTGCACATGACCCATGGAACGCCAGCCCCAAGGCTAAGTGCCATTTCAACAGCCCATTTAGCATACTCTTTACCTCCCTCACCATATGAACCTTCTACGTTACCATATTCATTTTCAATCTGCATAATTGGTATGAAATAAGCAAAATGTAAGACTATAATTTATTAAGAAGAATAGAAGCATATTCCGTCACAACTCACACATCATCAATCATAAATTTTCAATAACTAAGATTTGAAGGAACTAAAAAATATTGTTCATATATAAAACAACTTAAAATATTCTTAGACCATCTTAGGGTATAGAGTTTCTAATCATATTTAATATGCAATGCTGAAATCAGTATAAAGTTTCTAAAGCAAACATTATATGCTATGCAGAAATCAGTATTAAAAATACGCAAGATTTCATTGGTCCCAAGCTATTAATCCAAAACAATTATTAATTAATCGATGAAACATGAGAACATGAAAGAATTTGATTTAAATGAAAACCCTATGGCCCTCTAATGAAATTAAGGTTCACAAAAATCAAGCACACAATTGGCTTCTCATGGACACGTAGAAATCTAGATTATAACAAACCTGAAAAAAAAATCAATATTATTTACTAGTTTCAACCAATAACCAAAAAAATAATAAGAAAAGGAAGAAGAAAGAAAGAGAAAAAGAATTCACCACACAGGCTAGCCGCACCTATAAGAGTACGCAACCTCTCCAAAAACTTTATAAAATCTCACATTTAATTAAGAATTAAAAACAACAAAAATAAAAAATAATTTATGCATCCATTAAAAATATAACTCAAAAGCCAATGTTTTTTGTGCATGCCTTAGAACCTTATTTAAAATTAAAAATCAATTGAAAATCACTTCCCAATAGTTAAGACAACAGCCAAATCATAAAAGCCATACATTCCAAATATAATGCTAGCCAGGTCGAAGATGCAAGTCATTGCATCTTTTTGACAAAAAATATACCTGTGAATACTCATCACTTAAAAGAAACAGAAAAAAATCAATATAAATCACAAAACAACTGATAAGCACTAAAAGTTTTCAATCATGTAATAATCAACAATTTCTTAATTACATTTACTTGTTTGCAACATCGAAGATTGGTTTGGATACCTTCTTCCCTTGAAGTTGATTTGGTGATTATTTACTCCCCTTTGTGGTTGCATATATTCTTCTGTAAGGCTATAAACAATCATATTTATCTCCCAATATACACATCAAACTCAATCCCATCAACAAAGTTCTCAGTCATAACACTTCAGTGAGCCCTTTGGATACCATAATCGCCATCCACTATTCAAAAATACTCAGCATCATAGAATATCATCCCTCCATCAAAAAACAAAAATATAACCACCAAAAAAGAAAACTTATAGCAATCCCAAAGTTGAAGATTCATTTACCAGCAAGGAATGAAGACTTTACTATAGCATAAGAAGAAGGATAAAAACAATTAAAATAGAGCACCAAATTAACGAACTGAAATACAAGACCAAAATAAGAAAATGGCAGCTGTAAGAATAAGATAATATTATACGCATGTAAATAAAACTGTACTAGATGCAACAAACTTAGTACAAGAGAATTTCGAAATTCAGAAATAAATTTTACAGAAGTTCAATTTTCAAAGTGATCACATTAATGCAAGTATTTTGTTTTATATTAATGATATAGCCTTTGGATTCACATCGATTGAGATAAACAGCTAATATAGATTGGCATACCCATCATCAACATTAGGTCTTTAATACAGTAACTTAGATGTCATCCCCACCCTCAAACCAGAAGAGAACGAATCAACATGTTATCCCCATTATCAAACAAGACATGAACAAAGCACCAAATATTTCGAACTCGATAAGAACTTTAAACTACATAATCCAGAACCAACCATTTTTCCCTAAAAATTCCGCTGAAAAAAATAACCACAAAAAAGATAGTAAAAAACAAAGAGAAATAAGTTTAATTGAAAAAAAAAAAAAAACATAAGACTTCCAAAGTAAAATCAGACGAGATATCAAACCTGCAATAGAATTATTGGACCACCTTGCCATGAGAAAAGCATTTCCTCTTTCATCATTTCGACAATTTTACTAACAAATCTTTGAATCTCAACCTTGAATGATCAAAATAGCAAGACAAAATGTATCAATAGAAAGTGTTAACAACAGAATTCAACTAGCGAATTAGCATAATATTGTGAGCATGTGTTTTTTTCAAAAATTAAAAAAAGCCTCCACTTCATATGCCTCGAACTAATGTTAATAATGCAGCTTGGAATAAAGTATGGTAGACCTCGTCAAGGTTCATGCACATAATTACTGATAATATGGACATAAAATTATAAAGGCTCATAACAATATAAAACAAATAAATAAAATAGCAATATCTAATTAAGATGCAAGATAAAATTGGTGCAGGAATACAAAATATAACCTTTACAGGTGGTGAATACAAACCATGTTATCTAAAGACAAGACATACAGATCATTGTTGACGAATATTTTCGCATCGACTCGACCCCGATCGAGCCCGACTAGGCTCGATCGCGCTCGATCAACTCAATCGATCATCGTCGAGGCTAAATTGACTCAAATTAAGCCTCAATTTGATTAAATTAAATCAAATTTAATTAAATTAAAATCAAATCAAATTAAATCGAACCCCGTCGAGCGTCATCGACGCAATTCGGCGTCAATTCAGATTTAATTTCATAAAATTAAACTGATCGGACCCGCTGGACCGAAATCGAGCCAAATAGATTTGAGTTGAGTCCAATTTAGGCTTAATTTCAGCCCTAACTAATGAGATCATAGCTGATTTGATTTCCCTAATCAATTTCTTGATCTAGGGCTGAGATTGGATCACAAATCCCACCCAATTTCATTTCAAATTGAGCATAAAATCTACTCGAGTAGATTTTTCTCTCGTTTCTCGCAACGAAGCAGCGAGATGGCACGGATTGGGGGCGGCACCCTGCTGTGCGTGCATCCCTAAGAGAGCGGATACAGTGAGGGGGAGCGGCGTTCGGCTCCCCCTGTTTTTTTCGTGTGGTCCCGTCCCAATAGAGAGAGCAAGAGGGCGAAAGAGAGGGAGAGCAAGAAGGCGGAGGCGGAAGAGCTCCGTGTCTTTTGTGCGCCCGACCCCGTCCAAGTCTTCCGAAGCCTCCAAGGCGTCCGTCTCCCAAGGCCGCCGACTCCTTCAAGTTCGGTTCTCCAAGGCCGGTCAAACCCCTCCCTTCCTGCAAGCATTTCTTTGAGTTGGAGCTAAGTGAAAAGGGGATTTTCTCCTCTCTATCTGCTGTTTTCTCCTTTCATGGACTGAAAGGAAGCCTTCTTCTGCTGTGTTCTGTTTTCTCTCTTCCTCCAAGAAGGAGAAACTCCATCTTGTTGCTGTTGGCAGCCTTCTCTTCCAAAACTAAAGGCATAGGTGCGTTGGAATCACCCTTGCTGCAGCAAACAGGAGAGGACAGCAGTTTGAAAGCTCTTGGGAGTTTCCAAATAGTGGTTTGGAGGCGTGAGAGTGCCTTGGACAGCAAAGGAGCCTTCCGGAGCAACTTGGACAGCAGCCACGCAGCTTCCGGGAGCTCTCAAACAGTGAAAACTGCTGTCCGGATTGCTTTGGACAGCAAATCCACCTTCCGGAGCGACTTGGACAGCAACGGTGACGTTGGGAACATCAAGGACAGCAACTAGGAGCGCAGATTGGAGCTTGGACAGCTACTTTGGAGCCTTGGACAGCAAGCCGGAACTTGAATAGGAGCGTTAGGACAAACCGGGAGAGGTATAACACCAAAACTTAGACAAAACCTTAAGGTTCCCTAGCCAATGGCATGTGGTTGACGATCCAAAACCTTAGGTCCCTAGAAACTTTGATTTTTGGTCCCCCAAAACCCCTTTGTTGGCTGTCCGCTTCGCAAAAGCTACGGAAATTTGGTAATTTCCATTAGTTGATTCTCATGTGAGAGTCCGGAGAGGATTTCAATACGTATGGAGATGTTGGATTGGTGTCCGACACCTTTCAAATTGTATGTTTTTGCATTCATGCATCTCTCTCATTACCTATGTTTGAACCATAGGTTAGGCCATTCTATTTGACGTAAAAATCAAATGTTAGGGTGTAAACTTTTCCTTACAATGTCGCATGATAGGTTAGACTCCTTAGATCGACACACAACGACAAAATTGACATATGTTTAGGGTATGTTATGTATGCTAAAGTTCAATGTTTAATAAATTTGGTGAAAACTTGTAGCGGATTTGTTCGATACAAATCGTTGTGAGGTTTATTACAAGTCTCCAAAGATTTATGTTGTAAACCCCATGACATTCATAACCAACCAAATCCATGACAAGTCTTTTCATCAAGTTTACTTTGCTTAGAATGGTGATTGTCACTTGCTTAGAACAACCCCAACCCCTAGAGACTTGGAAGGCAATCAAATGGGTTCATCTAATTCTAAACGACTTTGAGGTTGCATGGGCCTTCACAAGCCCATGAGTGCCCATGCTTGGTATTATCTAATCCCATTTTTGAAACTTCCAAAATTAGGGGTTTATAATAAAATAATTGAAACGCATGTATATGTCAAGGGTTGTTTGTTCACTTTTCTCTTGTATCCAAAATTTATAAATTCATAAGCATGCTCATTTAATTACCAAATGCTTTTGAAGCAAAGATGGTGTATTCCATGACATTCAAAGCTCTATGGATCATACTCCATCATGCATCAAAATTTCTTAAGCATGATTAGTTGAATTTATAAATTGAGAGAATTCAAGTGCAATGATAATTGAACTTAGCATACGTTCATCCCCTTAAACATACAAACTACATTCGCGTTTCTAGGTTCCTTGGATGATGTCAAATTCAATTGTGAACTTCTTAGAAATTGTGGGAGATTAATTCCCTCCTCTCCAAATGAGACCATAACTTTCATTCAAACTTTGGGGAACTCTTTTCCCTACGTTTTTTTCCCCTTCATACATGATATTTGGAGCCCCCTCAAGGCTCCAAATGTCAAATTGTGTGAATTCTGGCTCTACCCTAGGAGCTACAAACCATCACATGTCTACTTTTAGGTTTCTCCTAGATCTTGCCAAAACGGATCTTTAGGGTTTTCCTAGAAATTTCCAAATACCCAAAATCATATCAAATTTGATTTGGGAAAACCCTCCAACGCATTAGGGAGTTAACCTTCCCTCTTTCAAGCAAATCCAAAACATTTGTAGAAGAGTAGGAGGTTCTCTTCCTTATGTAAATGTCCCTCATGCTTAGTAGTTGGGGTGTTCTCTAAATCCCAATTATTATAGTGCATGAATCAAGATTTTAGGAAACAAATCCTAAGTCCCCTTTCCATTTGCTAACAACATAAAGTTAGCAAATGAGCATTTCTCCCTTCATGTATAATAGTTTGAAGCTTCTCCTAAACGTCTACTTACTATTATATAGGGTTATCGAACTTAGAACCAAAGTTTAAGTTCTTTCTCTCAAATTGTTTGAACCTAAGTTTAACAATTAAACATCCCGCTTAGGCTTAGGATTTAAAACCTAGTCTTTCCTCCCCATTCACTCAACCCAAAATTAAGTGAATGATCACCCCTCTTTAAATACCAAATATTCAAAGGCCTCTTATGAAATTTTGTAACTCTCTAAGTTACATTTTCTTCCTTCAACCCCAAAGTTGTAGGAAGCTTATCAAATCATTTATTTATTGGAACACAAACCAATGAGTAATCCCCTAGACATAAAATTAAAATCCTAGTCATCATCATTTTCTTAGTCACTAATTAAGCAAATGAATGCTCCTCCTTGGACACCCAATGTCCAAGGAATCCCTTCCAACATGCAATCCAAAATTTGCTTGTTGCTTCTCCCTTCTACAACTTAAGAGTTGTAGGAAGTCTTCTCATTCTCTCCTAAGCCCAAATTTAGGAGAATGATCGTTCTCCTTTGAACACCAAATGTTCAAGGACATCTATGAGTGTGTAACCTCTAAGGTGCACTCTCTCCTTTCCTACAACTCAAAAGTTGTAGAAAATTATTTCATCCTCCCTTTCCTACAATCTGAAAATTGTAGGAAACTATCCCATTCTCTTAAGGTCCCAAATTAAGAGAATGTACACCTTTCTTTGAACACCAAATGTTTAAGGAATGATCATGAGCTTGTAACCCTCAAGTTGCACGCCTCTTCTTTTATTTGCACTACACACATTTGGTAAATGATAGTACATCATTGAACACATAGTTCAATGATTTACGTTTTTATGTACACTCTATAGGTTGTATATTCCTTCACATCTTTCCAGAACTCAAAAGTTGTAGGAAGATATTTTCATTCTCTCAATCCAAATTTTGAGAATGTGCACTTCCCTTTGAACACCAAAATGTTCAAAGAATCCTCTTGGGGTTATGACTTCCAAGTCACATACCCTCTCCTTTTCTCCTCCAACCCAAAATTAGAGGAATGAACCTTTTCTTTGGACACCAAATGTTCAAAGAAACTCCTCCAATTTGCACATTGAACTACTTCCTCTCCAACAAATCTATTGTAGGCAACCACCAAAATTCTCTTCATTTATCTTAACCCAAAATAAGAAAATGAAACTCCATCTCCTTGATTACAAAAATTCAAGGAGGCACCTTCTTGATTTGTAACCTTAAAATTACAAATCCTCTTTCATTTCTGTAGGCTCCAAAAGTCTTAAGGAATTCCTTACCTTAGCTCGAAGCCATAGGATCATTCACTTTCTCTTCCCTTCTACTCTCCTAAACCCAAGCTAGGAGAGTATACCCCTCTCTTTGAACACCAAATGTTCAAAGGGATGTTCGGAGGGTTGCAACCCCTAAGTTGCATCTTCCTCTCTTCTCTATAAACCCAAAATCGTAGAGAAATTCAACCTTCCTACAACTCAAAAGTTGTATGGAACTCCCTTGTACTCAACCCATGTTGAGTTGTTCAATCTTATTCCAAATTATCATGTTTGTTGAATCAAAAGCAACAAGTAATCTCATTCCTTCATCCTTCCAATGCAAGTTGGAAGGGTGCAACTCTCTTTTTGGACATCAAAGTGTCCAAAGATCTTCATGAGTTTGTAACCCATAAGTTGTATATTC